TGTCTCACAGCTTTGGATTGCCAACGGTTTTCAGCCTTCTCCGTCTCATTATTACCCATTTAGTTCCGAATGTGACCGTAAATTTAATAACAATTTTCAATTCAAGATCCATTTCCTAGACAACTCCGTGTCTAGACGTTCACTGTTTTCTTGGATCCCTTGATATCCTGCTGCTCCTTGAGTTTCTTGATACCCATCGCATCCCTACGTTCTTGCATATTCTTGAATTCATTGAGCGCTTTGGGGTCCTTAGCTTCCCTGACTTCCTTGAATTCCTTGAGTTCTTTGGAACCCTTGGGATCCTTGAATTCCTTGGGCTCCTTGAAATCCTTGGGCTCCTTCGGCTCCTTGGAATCCTTGGACTCCTTGGAATCCTTGGAATCCTTGGGCTCCTTGGAATCCTTGAATTCCTTGGGATCCTTGGAATCCTTGGAATCCTTGGGCTCCTTGGGATTCTTGAATGTGTTTACGCCAGCTCATACTGTGATTTCTTAGTGCCCGTACATGTTAAATAATTTCTGAGTTCAAGAATTCCTCAAGAGTTCGGAATTCACGGAAGTCGGACAGATCTCTCCCACTTCGTCATTATGACTTGAGAATTTTCTGATAATCCTAACCGCAAGGTCATTTTAGGAGAAACACGGTTTTTCCAAAACCTACCGACTCAAATTTTGTTGATATCATACAAACAGTTGTTATCTAATGAGAACTATTTGCTCTAAAGACAATATCTTAAGCAAATTCTTCGCCAAAACTCAGTTGAAGAGAAATCCCTCTACGAAAATTTTCTGAAGTAGTTTTTATCTGTACAATATCATATCTAATTGTCAGCGAGGTCAAACCTCTTCGAATGGTAAAAAAAACATAATGTTGAACGGTCTTTTTTCTACATGGGACCTCACAAACTTGATTAACACCTTCTACTACAGACGTTTTGTGACAAGCGTGGCTTTACAATAGTTAATATTTGCTATTCATTTCATACAGAATTTTGGAGCATTTTTGCTCACAGGAAAATAATTTCTATGATTTGAAAAAAAAATAATATAAGCTTAGTGGTACTATTTAAGCATAGAAAAATTCATTGGATACTGATGATAAAAATCGTCCTCTGAAGAAAATGCAGTTTCAAAACACTTACGTTTGCTCTCTGTGTTATACGAAATTTTGTATGCTGATGACCAGAATAACACTAATATATCGACGTTGTTATATACTAGAGATAAAAACAAGACGTTTCTTCGATGTACATTAACAATATAAGTTTGGCTTGTGTGCTTTCATTCGTGTCCGTGAAATAACTAATCATCAAATATGCTTGTGATACTTTGTTTATTTCATACAAGTACTATCGTCTTTTTGCTTGTTCGACCATTCATTAAGGTATATTAATGAGATATCTGATTTTTATCTCATGAAAATATTATTCTCGTTTTGCCTGTTCTATCATTCATTAAGATATATTAATGAGATACATGGTTTTTTCCCCATAAAAATATCATCGTCGTTTTGCTTGTTCTATTACTCATCGTTCGAACAGCTTAAACGATGCAAAATAGCGTGAATCGAAGACAGAAAAATTATGCACTATAACACTACTTTACTTGGTTTTTTACCATCGTTGCACAGTATCAGTAAAATATTAGCAATGGACAAGCAATACTATACCGTCCAATACCATGATCCTGATTGAACCAAGCATCAGATGTCCCATCCACATATGCGAGAAGATATTGGTTTTTGACCTTACTTCTACAAGTGTTTCATGTTCATGACCATGTATATCATCAAAGATCGAGATCCAGATGCATTTCCGGTCTCGGTATTAATATTAGTTCTCTTCTAGAATTGTTCTCGGTCGCAGTATCGACCCGGATGTCAGTTTCAGTATACGTATCGACCACCATCTTCGTTCATGTTTCCATTCTCGTCACCATGTACATCTTTGTTTCGATTATGATTGCTATTCCCGTCATAGTTCTCATTTATATTGCACTTAAAGTTGTCATCCTGTTACCAATCTCCGTGGGCATTCAACTTCAGACGCGACTCACAGTCCATATCGCATAATCTGCTACATTATCGACTTCAGGCCTGATCCCAAGGTCTATCGAGCTGATTGTGTGAAACGCGAATTCTGTCGGGTCTCACTTCTTGTCCAGCTTTCAGAGTCGATTCTGTGACCCATTCAAATTTCACTCCTGGTTCTGCATCCATTCCGGAGCTTTTCACGAATCGGTACTCATCTTCGTTTCAGCTGCGATTGAATTGCTGGTCTCAGGTTCCGACTACATTCGAGGTTTGATCACCTTCTCAATTACAGTGTCAGTTTCAGACCTGACCACAGTGCTCATCTCGAACGTGTTTGGAGACGACTATCCTGGCTACGTCTGCGTAGCGTTGAGATTTTGATTAAAAATCGCAGAAGCTACGCAGGTTTTGGTTTTAGTCGATTCACTAGTTTTAGCTTGTGTCTCAGATAGACAGCTGATCCCAATCACCAGTTCACTCACAGTTTCAGTTATGATTCAATAACTGGCCTCAACTTCGGTCTGCACTTCAGAGAGAACCTAGAGGTTCGGTCGAATTCTCAGCTATGGTGTCGAATTTGGACAAGATCTTAGTGCCCATATCGATGACAGTTTTGGGACATGGATTCTTCTTACATACTCCTAGTACTCTATCGGAAATTCGGTGTGGGTGTGCGTATGGGTGTGCGTATGGGTGTGGGTGTGGATGTGGGTGTTGGTGTGGGTGTGGGTGTTGGTGTGGGTGTGGGTGTGGGTGTGGATGTGGGTGTTGGTGTGGGTGTGGGTGTGGATGTGGGTGTTGGTGTTGGTGTGGGTGTGGGTGTGGATGTGGGTGTTGGTGTGGGTGTGGGTATAAATGTTTCTCGAAAGAACACCCACACCCACCCACCCACACCCGCACCCACCCACCCACACCCACACCCACACCCACACCCACACCCACACCCTCAAAAGTTTAATTCTGTTTTGTTAATCTCGATGTCAAATTAACAAGATGAAGTTGATCAACTTCATACAAATCAAGTCCTTTGTGAAAATATTTTAAATCATTTGGTGAAACAATTCCAAGACGATCACATGAGCTGACTTTGTAACTCCATAATTTTGTACTGAATCCATCAGTATTTAGAAAATCTACTATAAATATCCATTGTTGATTATACTTGAATATGTAATGTATTTGAAAAAATAATGGAATATCTTCTACATGTTGTAAATCGTAAACATAAACCGCATATTGTTTATAAATAATATGATTATAAATCAGTTCAGAAAATCGAAGTAACGTTTGATCAAATTGAGCTAATTGTTGTCCAAACCGTGAATGAGAAGAGTCCTGATTTTAAAATCTATTTGATGTATATGAATTTGTTTAACACCACGAGCTTCTTCGGATGTTTTCAAGAATTGACAATTTGACAATAGAAGGCATTGACGTAGTTGTTGTCGTTGAGCCAATGTCTTGGGAATGTTTTTAAAATTATTAGATTGTAGTGCTATTTGCTTGAAATATAAATGAGCACCTTCATATCGCATGCACCAGAATCTAACTGGTGACCATTTTCTTCAATGATTTTTGGATACTCAGTCACATAATGGATTTTCGGTGTCACTTTTTCTGGAAGAAGATCTACCATCATGCACTGAAAATTGATGGCCAACGTTTCCATAAAAGGTAACCAACTTTTTCTTCGTGGAAAAGCTAATATCATATCCAATAATTCACGTAAAACAAGATAAATTTTAAAAGATTGCAGTTTTTCAACAAGATCTGAGAAAATTATTGGAAATAAACGAAAAAGACAGTACTTTTGCGAAGCACTTCCAACGATATGATTATTATTAAGATTTTTTACTAGTATAGGTGGAGGTTTATTTGATGTATCGAATTCTCCATATACGAAATTTTCCGTTATATTTTGAATTCCATTGAAAGTAATTAATCGTAAACCAGATGCTTCTTTTAGCATTGCCATGATGATGAGAGGACAAACGCCTAAATAAGAAAAAGCAATTTTACAAAGAAAAATTATATTTTGTTGCTAATTACCTTCGAAGAAATCGTGCATAGCATCCCCTGGAAAAGAATTAGTTGGATCAAAATTATGCAGATCATTTAATGGACTTGGCCCAACTACACCAGATACAGATTTTATGTGAGGCTTATTTTTAAGTAATTGTAAACATTTCTCATGTTGTGAATAAGTTCTTTGGATAAAATGGACATCAGTTAATGGAATAAGACGGTTTTCATAGGTAATTAAACATCTTCTACAAAAATTACCAGAACTAAAAGTTTGTTGAAAACCGGCGACATTATGAGCCGCTAAGTTGTCTGCAGCTATTGCTGAAAATGAAAAAAGTAATTGACTGTTGAACGTATTTATAGTTAAACCTGTTAATTGTAAATCATTTAACTCTTTAACAATTGGATCATAAAATTTTCTAATTTTTTCATCATTATCTAAATATTTCGAATAACAAATTGCTGCAAGATGAATACATTGCAACATAGATCGAAATGAATCTGGTACATCTTCTGACATGAAATATACCATTCTTAATTTATGTTGACCTTTCTTTGGACCGATAGGATTGGTAACACCGATGTCGTCCACATATAATTGAATTAAGAATGATTGCTTATGGATTTTTTATCTTTAATGCAATCTCGAAATGAAAAAATCAAATCCGGATCACACTGAGTTGCATTAATTTGATCACGAATGTTTTCTATTAAAAATGGTAACATTTCACCTTTTTCTAAAATTTTTTTTAATGATTGTTTTATAGAAATATGATAAGAGTATTCTTTTTTCATTTGATTTGATGAAAGAAGATTTTCTATAGGTGGCGTATAGTTAAAAAAATTTTTACATGATTGTAAAAATTGGTATTCGTTTCGTGTTGAAAAAACAATAGCTTGTTCAATATCTTTGATAGTCGTACGTATATCATTAACTGAAACATTTACTGCTGTTGATGATTGTTGACTGGTATTCTTTTTTTTGCTTGTTCTTCAACGAGATCCACTACGATATCAAGTAAATTTACTATATATGTTGTAATTGATTGAATTATAGTCTGTGGTAATATATGCTGTTCTCTCATCTCAAGTAAGAAGCGTGTGTATAATTGTTGAACTGCAATAAGGTTAATTTGCTGGTCTTCACGAAGAATGTTTGTTGATGAAATATTCCATTGATTAGCAAAATCATCATTATTAATATTGGCATATATTATATTTTCATCGGTATTATCAACTATAACTGGATCTACAGATGTTGTATCAGGTTGTTGGATTGATAATTGATCAATATCATCTAAGTCATTATTTTCTTGTTGATTAAATGATGAATTAAGTAAGAAATGATGATGTCGATGGATGTGCATTTTATATGACGTAAATTTTTTATACGTTGCACCACAAGAATTTGATAAATCACATGTTAATTGAAAATTAGGTTCATCAGCATGATACAAGGTAATATGACGAAAATAATCATGAAACTTGTTAAACGATCGATTGGTGTTGCAAAGTTTGCATAAAAAGGTTTTAGAGGACATGACTAGACCACTTAATTATTCAATCTCGTAATAAAGAAAGAAATGTTTTTATGAATATCATATAAAATTTTCTGCAGTCTAATATTGTAAACCACAAAATCAAAGCTACTATTTAATCTCTTGGAAATCAATCTTTTCGGAAACACAGTAGTTGGGGGAACCTTTTAAGTTACGATTCAAGAAATAGATAAATAAATAGAATTTTGGAAAACAATTATAAGTTAATGAAAAAAAAGATTGCTTTTTAACTTTATTTGACTCACTTTGAAATTGTGTAATGATCTCTTCATTTGGAATAAAAGTCTTTAACCAGGTTGAAACGTCGTTTATTTTCCACGTGAGTGGCCTAGTAAAATTCATCTATAAAAAAGTATTCGAACTATTCTATGTCTTCTAGTATTAAGGCGTCTTTATATTCATATGTAATAACAGTATCGAATTCCGTAATAAACTAGACGTCCCAAAGTCTTTTGTTAAATGAAATTTAAAACAAATATTAAAAGCACACCTAAATGGTCAATATGTAGCTGAGTTTCTCTTACACTAACAGTAAAAATAAAAGTTGTTCTTGATCGAAGCCTTTACTCAATACGATGTAAATATAAGCAATATTGATTTCCTTCCGAAACCTAAAGTTTTATCAAAAATCCTAAAAAATATTCTCTAAACGAAAAATTATAAACAAGATTGTAGCATGATTAACGATCTTGTGTATATACAGAAATCAGTTTTTTTTTCAATACAGCATTTTATTAATATTAGAAAATATCAAATAATCATTGTTTACCTCGTTTACTTCGTCTTTTGGTTAGCCCTCGACCAATCGCAAAATTAGTACGACACAATCCACTCAAGTTAAAGTGAATCATAATCAAACGGTCAAGATAAGTTACATACACTTTGTACATTCACAATCGCTATCAGCAACATGAGTTATGCTGATTCTGCTGCCAGTGAATGTGAAAAATTATATGTAGCTTATCTCGACATAATCAAACATAAGAGCAAGTGCACTCATCTATATTTTAGAGGTCTAACCCATTTTTTTATTCGATTAAAGAATAAAAATAAGAAAATTATTGAAGACAAGTGAACAGTTTTAGATCCATCATTCATGTTCTTGTGAAAGTTTTGTGAAAACATCGTTTATATACCTTATGAACAACATTAATTTGCTAACATATGCACTTACGTTGCAGTTTTTCTTTTGATTCGAAATTCTACGATCTTTAGAAACAAACCAGCTGTAATCCTCATTTAAGGCTAGCAACGTCTGTAGTTCATTGCTTTTGCAATTTTTCAAACCACAATACCTATAATTTAATTCATACTTTAGCAAAACTCAACGAAAAAATGAAGAAAAAGAGATCCTGATGTTGATGGTCTAATTTATAGATTTTGTTTCTGATTCGTTGACGTCGTATCTTTTCTCATATTCTCAAATATTAGATCAACATTACAATGCAAAAATAAAATTCCACTATTTCAGAAGAATGATATGGCTATACATTTCATAGAATTATTCACACAGGAAAACATTTGAATAAGGTAATAGGAAATACTCATTATATCAATTTTTTCTCTTGAATAAAAATCTTCGAAGCTGAGCATGAGAAAAAATATCGAAAAATAAGGCTCAAATCCACATTGTTACTTTTGTGAAGTTTTCGGATGTCAATCACGA